AGTTTATAAACAGAAGTTTGAGAATGGATCAATACCTACACTGCCAAATATCTAAGTCAACATTTTAAATCCTTTAGTTTACTTCCATTTTCTCAATCTGTAAATTCCTCTATATCTCTATATCTTGCAAAAGTAGTTCCACAAATATGTTAGTTATGAGGCTTTCTCCAAACTGTGTGTCTTTAAAGAAAGGCAAATTATAGCATCAGAAATTATAGGCAATTAGAGCTACTTTTCCAGGCAAAGCAGAGATGAATGACAACTTCTTCCTATTAAAAAATAATTGATGTATGCTCTCTGACTTAGTTGTCCAAGTAAATCTTATACAATGTAAATTTCCCTCTAATTTTTTCTCTCTTGTAAAAAATATGACAAGGCAAAATATTTGACACACATCTATGTCAAGTGTTCCTTATTTGCTACTTGTATGTTATCCTTTTTAAAGGATTGGGTCATAGGAATTGAATTTGTATAATCTTATCTTTATATAACCGTTTCATAGAGACTCATTAAAAAGAGCTCATTTCTAAAAGGTGAATATGGTTTTAGTTATATTTCTCAGTCTTAGAAATGGGCACTAACATTAACATAAATACAAGATAGACTAAATTAAAAAGATAATTATTTCACCAAAGCTAAAGTTGACATGTACATAACATAAAAATAGGGTTTTAAATATGTAAAGAAGGAAAAGTTCAACATCCTTTTAATAATCAACTATACGTCAATAGAAGTAGCCTTCTCTATTCATTTGAACTGATGAAGGAAGATTTTTACTTGGAAGCACTGTTAAGAGCTACTCAAAATTTGTACGAAAATAACAGAACCCTCTTTTTCTTCTTTCTTTTTTTTCCACTAAGTCAAACTGTAATTCTTCTCTATCCCTCACTTTTTAGTGAGGTTTCAAAATATATAGCTTTCTCTATTTCCCCTTTTTTTCTTTAAAATTAAATCACTATTCAGTCTTGCCATTACTCGAGTATTATTCCTAAGTAGCAGATCATGCCTGAAAGCTCCAGCTTTTGCAGAAATGTTTTTAACTAATATTGTTAACAGCTTGAGTCCACAAAATCTCAGCTATTCTCCCAAACCCAAACACAACTCCTGTCAGTAAAACATGAAAAAATGAGTTTGTGGGGGAAAATCTATGAGGTTATCATTGCATTTATCCCCTTTGGCTGGCAGAATAAGGCAGCACAAAATGCCAACTCATGATTTAAATAAACCACTGGCAAGAAAGGCCCTAGCTGGCTGCAAGTCAGTGCTCCAAATCAGTTCTATTCATACGTCTTTGCCAAGCAGTGTCTCTGCAGTTTTCAGAATAAGATGACACAAGTGACAGATAAATTCAGAATAATTAAATCAGCTAGTGTATGAGGGGTAAACCTTTCTGAAGAGAAAACAGGTATTTCATTGTGATGCTATCTTGAAACATTTATTCATGCTAAAGTAATTTAATTTCACTTACTAACTTTGAGACTAAAGGTGTCTTTGTTTTCACAGTTTTAGATACTGTTAGAATTGCAGAATAGAGCTAGGATATTAAAAAGAAATTTTAGTGGAATTTACTTTCATATAGCTCCTTCCTAGCAGTTCAATAAATTGCCATTAATTGATCATAAAGTGAAATTTATTTCAAAAAGAAGTTTTGATACTCCCTCTGCCCAATTAGGGAGTTAAAAGTCAATTCTGCGCAATTAGGAATAGTTTATCTCCTGGGGGCTTCGGGCCCAAATTCAGGGACATTTAACTGTTTTTCGGTCTCTTCTTGAGGAACAGGGCTCCAAAGGGAAGGAAAGAGAATTTTCTCAGTGTTCTTTTTCAACCTGTAGCCCATTCCCAAGGCTCTGAATCAAAATCTAACTTGTTAATGTGCTGGCGGTTTGAATGGCTGGGAGAGTCAAATTTAGCTGTGTTTTACTTTCCGCTTCAGCGGAAGAAACAAGAGGCAATCTCATGCGCTTGAGAAATAAACCCGCCGGTAAATGATAAAGTTTTAGACACAGAAAAAAGAGGAAACATTCTCCAATCTTTGGGACGTGTTTTAAAACTCTGTGCTGTTTGTTTTTCTTCCTTCACTGTGGATTTAGGGGGAAGAGAATGGTTTCCTGCCTAAATTCAAGATTGATGCTCACTGACCCAATTCCTTGTGTTTCTTCGAACTCCTGTGTAGTCCATACCCTCGCTTAGCTTCGGTAAGATTTTTATAAACTGTTTAAAGTAAGAGGAGATTGAGCAATGTGAATGGAAAGCAGCCGCCGTGGGCAGCTAGAATAATGTTCCCTTCGTTTTCTTCGTTTAAGATATGCGAAATTGTTCCTCCTGTAATCCGTTTCGAAAATAACTTTCCGCGGGGGCTTGCTGGACTTAGAGAGGTTATTGTGACTTTCTCTGAAAACTGAAAAAAAAAAAAAAAAAAAAAAAAATTAAAGGTCTTCTAGTACTATGACCATAGCAAAATTTAAAAGTGTCAAAGTGACCGGGTACAGGTAATAGGAGGTAGCTACTGGGAGGTGAGCAAGGACAAGAGCAAGGTTTCCAAGCGTTGGTTGGACGTGCTAGTGGAGCTTGCCTCCCGCCGCTTCTCCCCTCCTCGCTCCCCCCCGCCCCCACAACTCTCATCCCCGCCGCACAATGCTGCCAAGCCTAGGCTGCGCAAGAAGGAGCGGACTTCAGCTACTGATGCTTACGTCCAGAGACGCCCAAAGCGGAGCGTCTGTGTCCAAGGAGGGACTGCGGGACTTGCGCGAAAGTGGAGGTTGGGGCCCTCCCGGGTCTCACCTACCAGCCGCGCGGCATCCCTCGCGCGGTGATTGCATTGGCACCTGTACTCCTGCGGGCCTGGGTGAAGCCGACCCAGCAGAAAGGGTGCGCAGAAGTGGCCAGCGAGACTGGAATCTGAACTCCCTATCTCCCGCACACAGAAGAGCGCGTTGTGGCTCTTTCTGTGAGAGTTGCGGTTCTTGCCGCAAAGAAAATGCAGATAAGCAGCGGTTGTGCCTCTCTTCAGAAACTCCTAAGGAGAGCGCATTGGGGTGGAGGTGTGATGGATGTTCTACTTCACCCTTGTGCCTGGATAATCAGAAGCTCCAGAAGCCGGCGGAGTTCCACGAGGCAGCTTGGCCCCTAAAAAGAAGCTTGCATGGAAATGTTCTAGAAGAGTGTCTTTATTTTAAATTTTCATTAAAATAGATTACATTGTAGTTAATTAAGGAAATTGTCCAATCGCTCAAGATGGCTCATCAGTTACAAGGAGCTGGAGACAGGAAGCCATTTCCCATATATAAATTAGGCAAAACCAAAAATGCAATACCAAAACAATTTGGCTTCAAATATTTACTTTTTAAACACAAACTGATCTTCAGACGTTCATTTATTCACAGTTTTATAGCCTGAGAATCTATAAAGTCTTTCTGTTGTATTTAAACCGGGGGGTAGCTAGGGTTTGCAATCCATGCTGCCTCTTTCTTGAGTCTAGACTCTTAATGCTCCCAACGTCTTCCCTTGGACCCCCAAGTCTGGCCCGCCACTATTCCCGTAATGCCCCTTCCCTTCCGCCACCTGACCCAGCCTTAGAAAGAGCCTGTCTCAATGCGTTCCTAAACTTGTAGAACTGAAGACTTCACTGTTACACCCTCCTTTCCGAGGGATTCGTGGTGAGTAGGGTTGGGAAGGATGGGGAGGGTCGCTGGAAGGAGGAAGCCAGCAGAGCTCTCAGGGCTGGCCAGAGAGAGAACGGTGGTAAAGGTTTTATACTTGGAATGCATTTACTTCCAGCTCTGTAAAATGATACATACCATCGCAGCTGGTATTACCCGCTGAAGAGGCAGCAAAAGACCTCTCTGTGTGCAGTTCCTAGGATGCTTCTTCTTAGCGCCAAGGAGACCTTGTCCCAAAAGTCGCCAAAATTTTAAAGGACTCCGGCCGGCGGAAGAGACCCGTCCAGCATGGAAAGCCAGGCATAGGGGACTGGGTAAGGCCTCCTGGACTCCTCGAAAGCAGCTCATCCAGGGAGCAGCCGGAGGCGGGGCACGATCTACAGAAGCTCACGGGCTCAGGTGGAGACCATCAAAGAGAAAGGGGCGGGTTCGAACTTTAGAGGGGCAGAAGGGTGCGGACCAAGAGAGCAGAATTAGGGTGTGGTGCAGTCGGCGGGAGGACCGGGTCAGAGGGAAAGGAAAGTGGTGTCTCAGAGGACAGGGGTAACAGCTTTCAGCCACTGCCATTTCCCCGCAGAGGGAGCTCCTCCGGGCCCGGGAGGAGTACCCGGACTGCGACACTCTGTCTGCCACGACCCGGATTCCCTAGGGGATTCCAAGGGACAGCACCGTCCTCTCCACACATCATCAGGAGCCGAAAGCAGAGAATTTGCCCCACCTCGGCACTTCTGGACGCACCCACTCAACTCTACAGTATGAGACAAGGGCTCTCCTACGAGACCTTTCTCCAATTTTCTTTCTCTGCATATAAGAGCCGGGATCTCTCCCTCTCTCTCTCCTCTCTCTCTTTCTCTCTCCTCCTATTTTATCCTGGGAGATTCCTACTCGCGGTGGGAAGTCTCGGATCCGCTCGGAACCGCTCAGTCTTTGGCACCCTTGGCCGCCTGCACGCCGGAGGGGGGCTCCGGGAAACACACTCGCTGCCTCTCCAACAGACCTCCCTCGCTCCCCATTGGGCCCCCAGTCTCCGCCCCCCCAGCGCCCACTCCCCCTCCGCAGCCCCGGAGTGGCGTCAGCACGCCCGCCGGGCGTGGGCTTTAAAGGCCCACTAGCGGGAGTTCAGGCGCTTCTGCCCTGAAGTGCTGTCGGGACTAAAATCGCAGGAGTGGGAGTGGAGCTAGCCAGCGGGATTCCGAGCCGCTGAGCGCGCTGGCCTCGCTCCGCCTGATGACTCCAGACCTCGGGTCCAAGCGCCGCCCAGGCAGAACCCCTGAGCTCCGCGGAAGGAGAGTTAATGAAAAAACACTTAACCGTCTCCGCTGCGGAGAGTCATGAGCTGTCTGGATGTTATGTACCAAGTCTATGGTCCTCCGCAGCCCTACTTCGCAGCCGCCTACACCCCCTACCACCAGGTACGTGTCTCCTCTGGGGTCTTTGGGAAGGAGTGGCGCGCCTGGCGCTTGCGGCGGTACGACCTCTACGCCAAGGTCCGCTGCGCCTCCGCGCGTCGCGGGCGTCCGACCAGGGCGGGCACCGCCGGGATGCAGCGATTGCCCGAGGCACCTCCAGTTGGTAGTGCAATTAGCCTTTAGCTCCCCGGTTTGCTTTCGGGAAGCAGCTAAGCCCTGCTAATGTGAGCCTAGGGTTTCCTTCGAATAATCAGAGGAGGATGGCACGAGCTGGATTTTCTTTTCAGAGTCTGTCGGACTCCAGATTCTTCCAAGCCAGGTGCAGTAACAGGAAATGCAGGCAAAGCTCAGGCAGGGAAAACCAAACTTTGGTCCCAATGGTGAATGTAACAACAAAACCAAAAGCAAAGGCCAGCCTCTTTCTGAGATTCAAGAGCCGGTGTTCTCATCCCTGCAAGCTTATCTCAGGAGTAGTTTCTTCCGTTTCAATTCTCCAGCGACCAGGGCAATTAATTCCAGATCCAGCGAATTCGTTTCAAAGAGCACCGCGCAGCTTTATAATTTTTTCTTTGCGAATTTCTGGGAGTATTATCTTGAGTCCGATTGACCTGGCAGAAGCGAACTTGATAGACAGTACTTTGCCTTTCTGCAGCCTGAGTAGCTGAATGGCGCAGCCCTGCTTTCACCAAGCACTTGAAGAAGACCACTCAACCCGGGTTCTGCAAACTCTTCAAGTTCCATTCAATTCTGCCAATTTCTCTTTTCTTCAGACTGCGTCTGTTTTAACCATTTTCCTTCCATTTCCTCAGCTGAGGTAGCAGAAACTGAGGACAGTAGTCCAGGAAAAGAACGAAAGCATACACTTGGGGGCCGCAGGGGTCCCCTCCAGGTTGGAAAATGAGAGCTTGGTCATCTGCTTTGGGAAAATTGAAATACACCCCAACACCCCAGTGGATGCTTTTGCTAATTTTCTCTGCAAATTTAGAATGTCTATTCGGAAATTTCCTGATGAATTAATGATGGACTGGGTAGGGTTCACTTTTTGTTTTCTTACCTCCTCTTCTCCTCTTTTAAACTTTACAACCTGCAGTTTGTTTTGTATCAATGTTAATTTGAGGAATCACCAGTGTTCCTCATTGTAGGGAGGTGGTATTTAGGAAATGGTGATACTGCTAAATCTTACATCGTTTTAGCCCCAAATAACTCAAACCTTTTGGCTACAGCTTCTATGTACTTCTTCCCAGGATGGGACTAAGGCAAGCACAGAGGAGAGACGTAGATTGGTTTTCTGACTGGCCCTTTCTCCTCCCAGACCCTGAACCAATCTATTGCATTAAGATCTTTGTTCATTTTTGTAGGACTCCGGCCCCCTCTTCAAGGCCATCTCTGCCTTCGGAATGCTTTAACACTTAATTCAGTCCATTGCTCATTTCTAAGAAAATGTTCACAGAAGCTGCACTCGCCTTTTAAAATCACTATCAGACATCTCGATTTACCCCAACTCACAGCCAGGATCTTAACTTTCTTCCGTCTGCTCCTTTTTATCATTACCTCGTGTGTGGAGATGATGAAGGTGGAAATACTCATAATCCACTAGTTTTTCCTTATTAAAGAGAAGATCTGTTTAGAAACTGAGGCAGACTTTTAAATGGATGTTGTATGGGTAACCAAACAAATATCAGCTTGCATTTGTTAAAATGATCTGTATTTCCCCAGTCATAATGTTATCCCAGATTTTTATCACACACAATTCATTAATAAATGTAATTATTTCACACCCATTGTGGCATTTCTTCCTTTACATTCCTGGTTCCTGGTTGCTTTCCTTCACACATTCCTATTTGCAGGGAGTGGATTTTGTAGGGATAGATCCCCCCCTCCCCCCCGCCGCCATTCCATCAGGAGGATGTTTGTCCTGTATCCTGTGCTGCCCTGGATTCTCAGGCAGAGAACAGTCAGGCCCTAACTGGACTTGGGTGCCCTTTACCCCTGCAGTTGGATTTTAAAAATATATCTGCCCTGAGCCCAGCTATGAGGTCAAACTCAGCTCTAAACCTAGCTGCTTAGGTGTCTCCTGAGACTTTCACCCAGACATTTTAGGAGAAATTTTCCCGGCGTCAGAGGGACCAAGGACCACAATCTTCCTCTAAGGAAGCCTGCCCTTGCGTGAATGCAGGTTGGGAGGCCTGCTAACTATGTTGCCCCGCTATTGTTGGTTTTATGCTAACAGCACAAGGCTTAGGCCCATACGCCAGTTTTCCCATAAATACCTTAGAAATTAGGACGAGGGAGTCAGTCTGAACCGAATTTGCCATCACTTTTGAAATTGACATCTCTGTTCTTTCTCTCTCTGAGCAGAAACTAGCCTATTACTCCAAAATGCAGGAAGCCCAGGAGTGCAATGCCAGCCCCAGCAGCAGTGGCAGCGGCAGCTCCTCGTTTTCCAGCCAAACCCCAGCCAGTATAAAAGAGGAAGAAGGCAGCCCAGAGAAAGAGCGCCCACCAGAGGCAGAGTACATCAACTCCCGCTGCGTCCTCTTCACTTATTTCCAGGGGGACATCAGCTCCGTGGTGGATGAACATTTCAGCAGGGCCCTGAGCCAACCCAGCAGCTACTCTCCCAGCTGTACCAGCAGCAAAGCACCAAGGAGCTCTGGGCCCTGGCGAGGTGAGTATAGGTTCCGCTGGGAAGGACCCATAGAGGGTGCTCTCAGTGTGGGTTCCACCTACAGGAGCCTAAAAACGTGCAGCTGAAAGAATATTAGATGTCAGAGACAATGTGCAGAGGAGCATTTGGGAAAAGTAAGGAAAACTCACGGGGAAAGGGCATAGGTATAAGAAAAAACTCCTTGGACAAAACACTGTCCTTGGAGTTGGAGGGCCTAGGCTTGTGTGTTGGCTCCACCACTTCCCAGCAATATGACCTTGGGCAAGTCTCTTAACCTCTTAGAGGTCACTTTATTTACTGCTCTCTAAAATTAGAATAACACTTACCCTGCTAACTATCCCCAGAGAAAGCTATAAGACTCCAACAAGAAAATGGATGTAAATATGCTGTAAAAAATGTGAGGTTTCCAGCACCCTCCCAAACCAGTGAGTGAAGGATCTTCAGCACCAATAACTTAAAGGGCACTTTCCCAATTTGCAAACATTTTCCCATTTGCAAACAGTTCTAGAGCTCCATGCAAGCAACACCTGCTTGAGAATGTCTCCAAAAACCAACCTTTGCCTTGCACAAGGCTCCAGTTACTTGGGAAATCTTGAAGCAGAAGTGTCTCAATAGCAAGTAAAATAACAAAGAAACAAAAATTTAGACACAGCCAAAACACCTCTAAGAGTTTTCCCAAAACACATCCCCTTTTTATTTTTCAACCTCCCCCTACAAAGCACTGCTTTTTTGTAGCCTAGGACAATTATTTGTTGGACAAATCAACTAAATCTCCCTTCTATTCTGAAATCTCAACTTTTCTTTATTACCAACAAGACAAAGGTGGGGAACCATTAAGTAAACTTGGCTCACTAAACTGTATTTGATGTGCACCAAGCTGAGAAAAGGGGATGTTGTTGAAAAAAAGGAAACAAATTTTCATTTGTCTTTGGGAGGGAAATGGCAACCCTTCACCCCCTCTTTTTTCCTTAAGAGAGTCTGGCAGTTTGCACAAGGCTTGCCCTTAGACAAGATCCGAAAAAACATTCATTTTAGATACAGAATATTCTTTTTATTCTCTGCCTAAATATTTTTAACAGGAAGATTCTTCACCACTTAGAATGCATTTTCAATTCGTTTAAAATTCTCTAGTATATGGTGCAGATGCCTTCCACAGAGGAGGTGTTCCGTAAAGGCTCCATGAATTAAATATCTGTCTTTCTCTCCCTCTCTACTAATAGCAAAAAATGTGATCTAAACGCTGTTCTCTTAAAATGCTACCACGGGCTAGGGGCCAACAGTGATACTGACAATAGTAATAATAATTACTATTACTGCTGGCGTCCTCACTTTAATGCAGAAAGTTGATGAAAACGTCGGATAAAAGACCTGTCTATTCGTGTCGTTTCTGTGCAAGTAATAGAGCTGCACTTTTAATGTGACTAGTTTACTCTTCTGCTTGAATTCTTGGAGAAAAACATTTGAAAGAAGGTTTGTAGAAAGAAAACTAATTTTCTTGAAGCAAGACTTCAAAACATGTCGATGGAGTTTCAGGCTGTCAGAGACCTTGGAGAGGCACATTTTCTGGAGCCAGGAAGGCTGAAACACGAGAATGGGTAGTGAGATCCCTAGGCGGCCAAAGGTGGGGAGAGGTATCTTTAGCTTGAGGAGAGGCTGAGGCTGAGAAAGGGAGACCGTGTCTGCACTGAGTCGCGGGAAGCTCCTTGCGCTTCCAGGCTTGAGTCCCGGAGGGCATCTCTCCACTCTTACTCTCACTCTCTCGGCCACTCGGTTCCGCACAGAGGAGGCGGCTGCGAAATGGGAGGAAGCAGGCCTTCTTCCCAGGGGTTCCTTTGCAGTGCCCCCACCTCGCTTTCACAAACTGCAGCCCCCTTAGAAAAACGCCGCTGCAGAGGCGGGGGCTGCCTTCTGCCCTCGGCCTTGACTTGCCAGCCTATTGTGCCCGCTCAGCGTCCTCAGCTCTCCAGAGGGGCCCTGCAGGTAGGCGCTGAGTCCCGCCGCAGTGACACGCACCTCTCTTCTTTTCCTCCACTTCGCCTCCCCGGCCTGCAGACTGCTCCTTCCCGATGAGCCAGCGCAGCTTCCCCGCCTCCTTCTGGAACAGCGCGTACCAGGCGCCGGTGCCCGCGCCGCTGGGCAGCCCTCTGGCCACCGCACACTCGGAGCTGCCCTTCGCCGCCGCCGACCCCTACTCGCCCACCGCGCTGCATGGTCACCTGCACCAGGGCGCCACCGAGCCCTGGCACCACGCGCATCCGCACCACGCGCACCCGCATCACCCCTACGCCCTGGGCGGCGCCCTCGGCGCCCAGGCCGCCGCCTACCCGCGCCCAGCCGCTGTGCACGAGGTCTACACACCGCACTTCGACCCGCGCTATGGGCCGCTGCTGATGCCCGCCGCCTCGGGGCGCCCGGCCCGCCTCGCACCAGCCCCGGCGCCCGCGCCCGGCAGTCCTCCCTGCGAGCTCTCCGGCAAGGGCGAGCCGGCTGGCGCCGCGTGGGCAGCGCCGGGGGGGCCTTTCTCTAGCCCCTCGGGGGACGTGGCCCAGGGTCTGGGCCTCAGCGTGGACTCAGGTAAGCAGAGGAAGAAGCTTGGTCTCCGCGGAATCCCTCGGCCCCAAGTACCTGACCCTGGGCTGTGCCTAGACCCCCTTAATCCTCCTTGGAGACCTTGAATTCTATGGCCCAAGGATCTACATGGCACCGTCGTGTTTCCACTGATAGATGGCCCTGTGCCAACGGGTAGGCGGGATGAGAAAGTAGGACCCTACCCTAACCTGGATGGTAAATATTACAGAGGACTTTTTTTTTTTTTAAATAAAATTTGGTGGAAAAGTTCTAGCTCTGCGCTGTTCAATACTGTAGCCGCTGGACACATGGTGCCACTGAGCAGTTGGTACGTGGTGAGGCCGAATTAAGATGTGCTGTCAGTGTGTAATACACACTGGATTTCCAAACCTTTCTGCAGAAAAAGAATGTAAGATTCATCTCATTAACGCTTTTATATTGATTACATGTTGAAATATTTTCAACACATTGCATATAGATTATAAAAATTAATTTTCAACTGTCATTTCTTTTTACTTTTTTTTTTCCAATTGTGGCTGCTAGAGTATTTAGAATCATGTTTATGGCTCCCATTGTATTTGTATGGGACAGCGCTGATCAAGAGTAGCTGCTGAGAGTACAATTTAAAATCTAACATGTCTTGGGGGATTTTGTCACCTAGTGACAGTTATAAGGAAAGAAAAATGTGATACTGCTATCAAGTTAATTGCCAAATAAAATAGATCTCTTAAAAATGTAAAACTTAAAGAAGATTTTAAAATAACAATCCTAAATTTCTAGCTTAAAGAATTGGAAATGTATAGTTAATAAGAGTTTGCTTTTTTGCTTTCTTTTCTTATTGTTAGGGCAAATGAAAGAAATAGTTATAAAATAAGTGCAATCACTGGCTGATAGTCTGCCCCTGCCCCTTTTCTTAAGTGATTTGACTTTTTTGTTTGCTTTGCTTTTACTTTTAGTCACTACCCCCCACCCTGAACTTTAGATGAAGTCTGTGACTTTCACAATAAAACAGTGGTGTTTTGTCTTTCTTTCCTTAAATATCTTGTGCCTTCCCTCTCCCATTCCTTCTTTCTCCCTCCCTTTCTCTTCCTTCTTCTCTTCTTCTCTCTTTCTCTGTCTCTCTTTCTCCCTCCCTCCCTCCCTCTCCACCTCCTCTCTCTCTTTTATCTTCTTTCTATTTTCAGGTTTGCAGCCTCAGGACAAAAGCAAGGATGTGTACTGGTTTTAGACAGCCCACCTTCTTCCCTGTAGGTCTCTGCATAGTGCAGTTGATGCCACTCAGAGCTGAAATGGAGTGGGTTTGTAACAGCTTCTGATCTTGGTTTGCAGCTCGTCGTTATTCCCTCTGTGGTGCATCCCTCCTGAGCTGATCTGCTGACCCAGGGTTTCCCCTTCCCCTTCCCTTCTGACCAGCCTTGGAGGCTCAGCATCTGTGCCTCTCACTCCGTGGATGAGGACATAGGGGAAGGCAGAGACTTCAGACTTCTCACTGTATTGGGAAAATCAAAAACCACAACTGCAGAAATTCATCTAAAAATAATTCCTGCTGCTGAAAGAGCAAATCCAAAGACTCTGAGTTACTTTTGACTTTTGGCCGAATCACTGGAAATATCTGTGGTGAGATGGCTTAGTCAGGTGATATGATATCATAAGCTTTCCTGGAAAGGGGGGAAAGAAAATGAAACTTTTTGGTGTGAATATTTTTTATGCTGATGTGAATTATTTTGTTAGGTAGTGTGATTATAGCACTACTAATGTCAGATTTTAAAATGTATGTGTACTTGCATCTAAGACTGTGGTAGAGAAGTAAAAAGAAGTCTATTCCTTCTTCCTCACCTCTCAGCCTCCAGATCCCTTCCTGTCCATCCTCTCCCTACAATGCCTATCCAAATGCAAAGATACACTTTTTTCCTTTGGACTGTGAACATGGAAGCCTCAGCCTGAATGTGAGTGGCAAGTGGCTTATCTGGAGCCACCTGCCCAAGTCTTACTAAAATGCAGCTGTTGTAAGACAACTGTTTAAAACTCCAGAAATATATCAACCAAGGTGGCATTTCTCAGTATTTGGCAGAACAATTGCAATTGCACTGGATATATTATATATATACATATATATATGTATATATATCATATTTTTATGAGGAACATTTTACGATGAAAGAAGAAACCCTTCTCTGCCTTCTCTCCCACAAATTCTGTCCCTCTGTCCTCTGGATGAAAAAAGCAAAGAGAGACCCGAACTGTCTCCATGGAGAAGAACTGGGAACCACCACAAGCGGAAGAAAGTGCATGAAGTCTCCATTACCTCGAATTTTTTTCTGAGTCTCTCTGATTGTGATTTAGTGTTGGGGCAGGGGAAATGGTCTGTGCATGGGCAAAGCTGAAGGTGATAAGGAAGAAGAGATGAACATTAAAGATGTCTGTTTACTATGAATTCACTGTGTTGATTCATAAAAAGAAAATAAGTTTTTTTCTAGTAGGATAAAATAACATAGTACTATGATTTGATGTCAGTAATATTATATGTAGATATAGATATAGATAGATAAATAGATAGTTCTTTCTGTGTTTCCACTGTGTTTGCCGTGCTAGGAATCTGTTAGCTGTTTCCATCTCACATCAGCCTTGGAGAATGAGAAGTTAGGTGCCCCTGTCTGTTTTACAAATGAGAAAATTGTGGCCTACAGAGGTCAAGGTCTTGCCTGTTAGCATTCAGAAGTTAGAAGCAAAGATGGTACAGAAAGCACTACCTGTAGACCATTCAGTCCGGTACAGATTTATTATTTTCCGGAAAAGAATTATTGTTACATATTAATTCTAGACTCAAGATATAGAGTCATCAGTTAAAAGTGTTTCTGAAATATTGGCTATTCTATATTTTAATAAGCTAGGCTAAGAAACCAAATCTCTCACTAGGCAATAAAAGATTATTAAGCAAGAAACTGATAGTTTTTCCCCTTGTTTCCTCTTGATACCAAAGTTATTTCTGTTCTTTCACAAAAGTGCCCAGTAGAGAGATTTTTTGTGCTGCTCAAAGTGCCCTTGTACCTTGTTGATGCTCATAAAAATATTAGTCCAAATCTTGATCTTCATTACAACATGAGAGGCAAATATAATTTATCTTGGATAAGTCTCAAGAATTGGAAGCAGTTAAGGGATCTAACTCACAGCATGAGCTTGGCAGAGTTCCCCATACCCTCTTTCTGTCATTTGGCTACCTGTGAATTAGATGTGATCATTCCAAGAATATTGTTGTTTGCACTCTGATGGAAAGTACTCTGTGATTATGCGCATCGCACCTGATAACAATAATCATAACTTATTTAAATAATATTAATTGTTTATCATCCACTGGGCACTGATCTTTATAGATTAACTCATTTAAGCCTCACAATTCTATATGGTATCTATTATGATGTTCTCCTTCTTACCTATTAGAAAACTAAGGCACGCAGAGGAGAAATAATTTTCCCAGTCACGAAGCTCATCAGTGGCCGAGTCAGGCTGCAAACCCATGTAGTGCCAATACAGGGCTGCACTGTTATTCACTGCAGTGACCTCTTGTCCAGTTCTGATTTGTCTCTTTGCTCTTCAACGTTGGGCTTATTTTCTCCACAATAGATGCATAAATAAGGGAAAAAAGTCAGAGAAGCACAGATTGATGATGTTTTGGTAGAACTTCCAGAATCTTCAGTCTCAGTTGAACTGTCATAGGACATTGTCCAAACTCCATCAAATGACACTACTTAGACCGTTCAGTCAGATGCGGCTCTCTATTCTTCTTCAGGAGGGAGCTATTATTGCTTCTCTTATTTACTTCAGTATTTAATAGCCTTCACCACTCTGAAATTCTTCACACCTAACCTAATCAAGCTGTATAAGAGTTAGCCTGAGGTTTGGACATTGAAGCAATAACTAAAATTAACTTTGGACTTGTCTGTGGATTTTTTTAATCCATGTTCCACTGGCATGAATCCCTGGTATATACAAGTGTAAATAAAATGCATCGAATCCCAGTGCGCTTTTCAGAATTTGCTACTAACTATACTGTTGAAGAAAGCATGGCAGTTCATTCTCTGCTGGACATCTCCACGTATTCCCCACTGAAGGGACTGTTTACCTGCACCCCACTTGCATTAACACTCAAAGATCTGTGATCAGAACCCACAGGGAACATCTTCCCAGCCACACAGTTCTGATTACTGAAACTTCTCTCCTAAGCTACATCTGACCCGAATATCAGGTTGCTAGTGAGAAGACTCATTCACTGGAACCAGCCTTTGGGACAGTCCTGAACAGACCGTCCAGACTGCTGAGCCAGTCCAGGCTCCAGCTACCTAGCACATATGACACAAGAACCACAGCATTTACCTCCATTTCACACCTTCCTCAGGTAGAAATGCAAGATGATTTAGATCTATAATGATTTGGTCCTGTGTAATAAGAGCATCAAGGAGAACTTTGGTGAAATGGTAGACCTACCTGACATTCTTCAGGCTCACTTCAAGTCAGACAAATTACGAACTCTCATACCTGTCTTGCTAATAGTAGTTAAACCATGCAGATCAGAGAAGGTTCTAGCAGTTGAAAAAAGGACATTCAAGGAAATAAGGGATGGCATGAGGAAAGGCAAACATGACATTTTTACATATGTTATACCTGGTCAGAGGGCTCAGAAAAAGGTTATATTCCCCTCTAATCACCCCCACCACCGGCATTAGTGTCCTCTTTGCCCACAGTTTTCCCTTTGCACTTGGCCTAGGTCGAAGGTGAGGTGATGAAAAGGAAAGAGACGGCTCTCTACCACCAAGTAATCCTTTTGCCAATTGCCCTCTGGCTGAGAATTCGGTCACCCAGCTACAGGGAACTCTATCTGTTCTATTCCTTCAGTGTGAAAAGAGCTGCCATCCCGTCTCATTTCCCCCTTTGAAGTTCTATTTAAATGCATGACAAATTCTAGCAATAACTTAAGATTTACTTGGGTCTGGATGGGAGATGGCGGGTGCTGGGACTCAGAACCCCTGACTGAACACTTCTCTTTTCACTCTTTCTGGGTAAGTACGGTATTTTCTATGTCCTTCTGCATCTGGATAAAACACCTCTTCGGGTAACTTCAATTTTCATTTTACTTAGAATAAGAAAGCCCGCATTTCTGTACAGCTATGCATGTATTCTGTCAAAATAAAAAAGCTCTTTTTTTAAAGCATTTAGTGAATAATTACTTTGGAGTTGGAGGGGATAAAAATTAATAGAACTTAAACAAACTGCTTTCATGTAAATGCTATGTCCATAAATTGAATTTATTAGTGTAATTCATTAAGATGTCATCTAAGCATGGAAGAAAAATTGAAAGATATGTGAAAATACTTTAAAAATAAATGAACCTGAAAAACCTAAGATCACTTTTTAAAAGCGCTTTAACAGTTTATTGACAATTCTCATGCAAATAATTCACACTTTGATTATACTTGCCAAGCTGTTTTCTCCGTATATTTCATTTTTTCTTACTAGATTTTTAGGATTTATTATATAGTCCTAAAATCTGGAGGAAAGGAATAAATATAAGACAGTATTATTATTACCGTGGCTGTCTGTATGTAACTGAAATTGTGGCATTTACACAAGCAGCAGGGTTAGGCAAATATTAATTTCACATTTCCTAAATACCAACTCTTGCTTATTGCTTACAAATATGAAACTCTAATAATACAAATGTGATATCTGCACAATAGAATCTATCCACAAATATAATACACACACACACACAGATGCAGGCCTAAGGAGAAATCAGAGACATCATGCCCTCAGACAGGCACAGGCACAAATGATTATTCTCACTTGACAGACCAACTGTACTGCTCTTTCCTTGTATTTCACTGCAGCCCCAGAAGGCTGGATCAGGAAAGAGACACTTGATAGCTGCTGTTTCCGTGGTTGAAATATTTGTGAAGTTAACGCATAATCTGAAAGCAGAAGCTAATAAATTATAGGGTGCTAATTGGAGCTAGAATAGAGCTGTCAATCATGTTATCCTAAACACAGAGAGACCCTCATAACCTAAAAAGGCAATGCAGCCTCCAAAAACAGCTACCATTTGTTTCCAGCCATGACCTCCAAATATCATGTCCAGGCAAGGAGTGGCCACTGACAAGCGTCGGCAGAGGTGGTTCTGCTAATCCAAGTTGACTTTAAGAGACAGGCAAATTTTCTTTTCAAGGGAAAAGAGTAAGATATTTCACTGAAGAATTAATTTTTAATCTTTAGAGAAATGCATACATTATGTGTGTGTATATATATATATACATATATATATATACACACACATATGTATACCTTACTAGAATGTGTCTATGTCTGTGTGTGTGTGTGTGTGTATACACACACACATTCTAGTAAGGTGTGTATATATATATATATATATATATATATATATTACTTTGGTAAAGCATATGACCCCTTCATTTGGAATTTTTCACTTTAAAAAAATGAGTTAGCTCAGTAGGAGAAAAATCTGAAGTTCTCCAGAACACAGTGTCAGATCTACTTCAAATTACAGTATTTCTGTGAGTTTCCGGTGTATTCTTGTGAAACTAAGCTCCTGTAAAACGAAATGGAGCCACTCGAATTTCCTCAGCCTTACTGGAATTCAGCTATTTCACCTAGAAAAGCAGCAGCAGCATATTTCCTATTCCTTTGCTTTGTCCTTAGACTCAGTAAGCTCTACCTCTGCTTATCTCCAAGTGCTGCAAAATGGCTACAACAGCTTTGCTCTAACTATCTTCTCATAGTTGTTTCTACTTCCTATCAAAAATGTATAAATGAATAAGTATATAATTATGATTACATGTATGAAATTTAGGTTAAAGGTAAACTAAACTCTCAAAATGAAACTAAAGAATTAAAACTTTTTTTATTCCTAATCAATATTTGCACCACTCTAAATGATCTAGCAGGCAATTAGACATTTTTACCAACATGTGCTTTTGGAGTACATACTTTAATCTCTACCATACTTACAACTAGGAAAATATTCCATTTACCTTATAATTTGGAAGCTTCTTTAGAATATTTCATATAAATTTTTTTTCACTCAGAAACAAAAATTAGGGATCTTAAAATTCTAAGCACAAATTTGCTAGAAACAATTATGACTGGGATCATTGATGGGAATGTCCCAAACTTATTTCCTTTCCTGCTAATTCCCAAACTACAGCCTTGTTCCTATTTTTAGCAACTACATTATTGGTCCTTTAGCAATAATGGTATTATTGAGAAATGGCATGGAAAAGAAAATAAAATGATTTATTTTTCAATTTATTTTTACCGGTACAATCCTATTTCATGTTTTTTTTTTTTTTTCTTCTAAGAGTATTTCACCCAGTGTGTAATCTGTTATACCCAATGTATAAGCAATTGGATAATTTTCCTCTAGTA